GCGGCACCTGTGGCTCAAAGGAGTAGGGCACCGGTCCCATATGCCAGAGGTGGCAGGTTCAAACCCAGTCCTGGCCAAAAACTGCAAAAGAAAAAAAGATGTATTATATATAGTATTTATTATTGCAACCCAAGATAGGCCTAATAATTTCAGTGTCTGGACTCTATAAGGACTTTGGTTGTTATTTTAGTTGGTTCTAACTTTGGATGTCTAGGCTCCTAATATGCCTTATTTATTTTTTTTATTGTTGGGGATTCATTGAGGGTACAAGAAACCAGGTTACTCTGATTGCATTTGTTAGGTAAAGTCCCTTTTACAATTGTTTCTTGCCCTCAGCCTTTTTTATTTTTGTTTGAATCCTATGAGGATGTTGTTTTTCTCCAGAGAAGATTTTTGTTTATTTCTGATAAGCACTTGAGAATATTCTTAGTCAATGACAGAGGTCTTTCTGAGTTAGACAGTACATATTTTAAGCTTCATGGGGCTTAGAATCTCTGTTGGAGTTACTCAGCTCTGCTGTTGTGGTCTTAAACCACCAACAGGTGATACATAAATGAATGAACATGTCTGTGTTTCAATAAAAGTTTATTTGTGGACATTGAAATTTGAATTTTATATAATTTTTGTATGTTATGAAATATGTTTCTTTTTTTTGTTGTTGTTTGTTTGTTTTTGAGACAGAATCTCAAACTGTTGCCCTGGGTAGAGTGCCATGGTGTCACAGCTCACAGCAACCTCAACCTCTTGGGGCTTAAGTGATTCTCTTGCCTCAGCCTCTCAAGTATCTGGGACTACAAGCACCCTCCACAATACCTGGCTATTTTTTTATTGTAGTTGTCATTGTTGTTTGGCAGGCCTGGGCCAGATTCAAACCTGCCAGCCCCCTGGCCTCTACGCTACAGGCACTGAGTCTGAAATATGTTTCTTTTGATTTTTTTTTTCCCCTCTAGTCATTTAAAAAATATAAAAACCAGCTTGGCACCTGTGGCTCAAGTGGCTATGGTGCCAGCCACATACACCTAAGGTGGCGGGTTTGAATCCAGCCCGGCCTGCCAAACAACAATGATGGCTGCAACCGGAAAAAAAAATAGCCAGGCACTGTGGCGGGCGCCTGTGGTCCCAGCTACTTGGGAGGCTGAGGCAGGAGACTCGCTTGAGCCCAGGAGTTGGAGGTTGCTGTGAGCTGTG